AGTAAAACCAGCACTAAACTGGAGTATATTTAGGTGTACTAGGGAAATTAAAGTCACAAAATATTATACAACACACAATAATTAGGTGTTTGCCTTAGCAAAGATACTGATCTCTCCTCTTCTCGTTCCTCATAAAACTGAAGGTCTTAAATATATCCAGATGTCATTACAATGAGCTTTAATTGTTGTTTGTTTTCCTTAGAAAGACTCACCGCCTTGACAGCATGAACTATGTTACAACCATTTTTATCACCTTCACATTACCCACCCCAACGCTAAGTATTGGTCGTCTTCAGGAAGTAGTTACTGAAAATAAATTACTTTCGAAAACAATTATTTATCTCTAAGACAATGGTCTTTCGATTCCACTTATATAGATATTCATCTGAGCAGTAGCACGAGAGAAAGCACAACAGATAAAAAGTTAGCTACTACTACATCATTACTCCAGAATAGCTAGAGTGATAACACTAATGTTCTTGTCTCTGGTCTCCCAAAGTATCAAAGGTTAGGTTTCCTAACATTAGTAAACAAAACTATGATTCCTACAATCACTAAGGAATTGCAGTAACTTTTTAAAAGTATATTCTAGCCTAAGTAAAGACATCTTTTAAAAGCTGTCCATATATAGAAAGAAAAGTATGAAAAAGTCAATACATACAGTATATTACACTTAACTTTACAAATAATTTTGTCAGCTTGCAGCAAATTTACTTTGAAAGTTTTTAAGACATGGATCAAAACCACCTTTACTTCATATAATCAGTAAAATAAAAAAGCAATAATTAACATTAAATGTTTTTCTTCCTCATCTCAGAAGACCGAGGAAGAAATAATTCAATTGTAAACCACATTAATAAAATAAGAGGCTTTCCAGACCAAGCCTAATTTAGTTCTCTGAAATTAATGGTGTGTTTAGAGAAGATATAGATAAATACAAAGATGAAAAAAGCTCTAACTAAATACAGCCGTGTCCTTGCCTTTAGTGGGGACAGTGGCCCTCCTCAATTTCCAGTTACCAAGAATATTTGAAAATTTCCACAAATATATATTAGAACGTTTTTCAGGAGTAAAAAAACAGTTACTGTAAAAATAGTCATGTTCAGAATACATTCCATGAACTTGAAAAGTGACATTTTTTCCAAATATTGGTTCCTTACTCATTCATTAAATTCAAATAATGTCAATACGTAGATGCCCGCTCCTGTACTTGGAGACCAGAGAAGTGAAAAGCAGCCATTATCTACTTTACTATCACTATACTACAGAGAAATAGAAAATGCTTCAAGAGATTTAAAAAAATTCTGGCAGAATTAAAAAAAAATTCAACATGTCTTTTATAAAATAAAATTGCTCAATGAAAGTCCTTTTAAAGATATAATGTTTAAAAGGGGTAAAAATTATCATTCTCTACTATCTAGCTATTAATTACCATTTTCACTGATTAGAAACAATAATGTTCCCCATTAAGTAAGGGTCTCAAATTCACATGAAGGCAGGTCAGGCAACTACCATTAGTTAAGTGTAGCAAGTAAGTGGGAACTGTAAACTACATACAAGGGCTTCATGCAGGTGCTACTGGACTCCATCTCCCCATCCTATTATTGCTACAGAATGCAGCCCTGGTGATACAAAGTCTTCCAATTTTTCCTAAGAGAAGCCAGAAATCCAAATTATGCAAAATCTTCCATTTTTAAATGTTGGCAAATAAGAAATAAACTAACAAAAAAACACAATGCAGGCCAAATAAAAAGTACTTGCAAACTGAGTTTGGCCTTACAGTATGCTACCAGTGCTAGCTACACAGCAATACCCTAGGAGCAGAAGCCTCAGTAAGAACCTCAAATATGCAACTCCTAGACCCTAAACTCCCAAGACTATTTATTACACTCAGATTTCATGATGGATTCTTCATGTAGTCAAGAACATTAGTGGTAATTTTTCTCTTGAAGACTAATTTTGGGGTTAATTTTTTTAAAAAATACTACATTTCAGGAAAAAAATAAAACAACTAACATTGAAGTGGCTAGATTTAGAATTCCATTATTAAAGTTAGAATTATAATATATAGAAAATGTATACATATTAAAGCTCATTTAAAAAATATTATAATGTTTTACAAACTGTGTTAGTTGGGTAAAATGAAGTGTCAATCAGCTGGGTCCTTAGAAAGCACTCACTTGAGATTCTTTGCATCTCTAGAAGAAACATCAGGAACTGGCAGTCCTGATGAGCCACCTTCACATGAAAATGGTAAAATAAATAAAGGAAGGAAGAAGTGACAACAATGTTAATTGGCAAGATATTTCTGTTACGTAGGTGCCAAAGGATAGGAAGACTCGATACAATTTTCTTTACTGCTTTAGCTCTACTAAGTAGATTAGATGGCTAAAAAGGATAAACTAGCAAGACCTTCTATTTGGAAACAAATTTACTGTATTAAAAAAGAAATGCTATGTGAGTCAGTAACCAAAGATTTAATCCCTTAACAACAAGGCAGTTTAAGAAAAAGTTTAAGAAAAAGGCAGCCTGGCTTTATTAGAGCTGGATTTCACAATTTGACAGCTGTGTGACTTTAACCACTCTGAGCACCATTCCCTTACCTATAAAAAAGGCTAACTATTAGCTACTTTAATTCTCATTAGAATTGTGATACATCTTAAAAGTGTTTTAATTCATTCTCTTAGCTGAAACTTGAATCTGCACCACTTTAGTAGTTTAAAACACTTTTCTGGTTGAACAGCTACACAGATAAGAAAACTCAACCCTTGCTTAAATCAGTCTTTTTCATCATCTCACTTGTTTTCTTTTACTAAACTAAAATCACCTTCTTAGTTACTTCTACCCTATCAATCACTTTCTAGTTTAAATATTGTTAAAGATGGCTAACTCAATTCTCACTAAACTCTAAGCTCTGCAAGGATTAAAGTTGCTCAGTATGGAAGCCCCAGTACCTAGAATACTAAGCACATAGTGGTTGTATGATAAATATTTGCAGACTGAGTGATACATTCTGTGCAGTATTTATTGGTTGACTACTGAAATGCCTTCTAATATAAAAAGCATAAATGTGTACATTTCTGGAGGTGATCATTTAATGTTTAAGGTTTAAAAGTCGAAATACCATACTAACCCAAGCACAAGCTATGTTTTTTAAAAATCCTTTGGATATAGTAAGTGAAAGCATTTTGCTATATTTTAAATGGTGATGCTATTCGATGATACAGATGATAAAGTTCCTTCAAAGCAATAAACCTATTACTGGCTCCATAACTCTTATTCATAATTTCCTTCAGATTTAACTGAATTCCAAGTCTGAATAAAAAACAAAAACCAAAAAACAAAAAACCACCTCTCAAAATGGTATGCAACCTCACTGCCATTGGCTATTCTGCAAATAACCTCCAAATAATAACAACTCAGTCAAATGTTATTATCTGAAATTTACACAGAAAATATCAGAATCGAAATAGCCACAGACTATTAAAATCTGTAACAACTTTTCACATGACTTTCTTAGCAATATGCTGCTATAAATCTCTCACTGCTTACTAGAACTCATTTATAATTTAGTCACTTAAATTCCAAAGCTCAAAGAACTGGTTCCATAAAGTATGTTCTACTTCACAGAACAGGAAATCAAACACAGTGAACATCCAGTCCACTATTCTCTGCAAATAAATCTATGGAAGCATTTCCATTCTAAAGCAAATCTCTCCTGCCACCTGACAGTTTTAAGCTGTCACTCTGGGCTATTAGCTTAAACAAAACATAATTAGTAAGGTAAATCTGCCACATACACAAGTCAGTAATCCATCTCAAATCCAAACATAAAATATTTCTGGATTATCTGGGTCACTGATGCTTGAGACTGTGATAGAAAATTAGTGATCTAGAAATAGGCAACTTCCACTAAAGGGCACTGGGTAAGGCAAATACCAGATTGATATAATTTTATAAAAAAGGACAAAACCAAAAAGGTCAAACATTTTAATGAACACAAAGTAAGACTGAAGGTGATATTAAAAATTCATGTTTTAGAAGAAATAGCCATGTATGACCATTTCCACTCCAATAACAACAAGCCTTCCCCAGACCCAAGTCTGGTTTTTACAAAACTTCCTTTCTTCTTCCACTTCTTCTATATTTAAAACAAAAACAAAAAACAAAAAAGCAAAAAAACTTGCAAATGAATCAAACACTATATCACATAAAATTAAACCACCAAATGCAAGACAGCTTTTAAAAGTTAAAATCACTACCTATCATTAAAATTCTACCTGCAGGGTGATTTCAGGTACTGTGTGAAGAACTTACAGCCATAGAGAGCTGACACACGAGGGGCAGAGTCTGGGTGGGTCTGTGCTATCCAACCTATGCTGAAAGGGCAGATGACGTTGACATAAAGTGTACAGAGAACTACAGTATGCACAGGCTCCCAACTCCTTTCCAATTTGCCATGGAAACGTATTCCTTTACAACAGACACTCTCTCTTCTTGAAAGTTGTCATAGCAAAAACGACCTGCAGTTGTAAAATATAACGGCCCTGGCCTTACCGGCACATTCTTCCTGCCTGTACTTTGTGCCCAGGAACAATTTCTCAACGTGGCCAGGGTGATGCTGCAAAGTGCTCTCAGTGCAGCAACCACATATAGGAGGAAGAGTTTCTCAACAGCCCCAGAGCGGACCCTGGGGATGCGGGTGGATTTCCCTTCTATTTTCGGCATGCTGCTTCCACCCATGCTGACAGCAGCCTGCGTGCCCGAGAACGTGCCAAAAGGTTTCTAGCTCACGTTAACGCCCTTTGGGAGCAAAGGTGTGCACTCCTGGCCGTTATCCCGGGCCCTGTCCTGGGTTGGGAAGATCCCTAGAAAGGCAGGGGCCGGGGAGAAGCCTTTGTCCTTCCCACGCCACAAGGCAGCAGCCTCCCGCCAGGCCCAGACTCCCAGCAGCCAGGTCCCCGCACCTGTGGGATACCTCTCCCCCACCCGCCTCTCACCTGATCTTGTAACTCGGAAGGGTGTGCTTGCGCTTGATGATTTTCTTGAGCTGGTTGACGATGATGGAGGTGAGCTGGGGCATGGGCCGCCCTTCAAACTGGGAACGCACCTCGAAGTCGATCAGCGGGTCCTCCACGAAGGAGAAGAACCAGTGGGTGAAGGGCACGCGCGTGAGGACGAAGCGCAGCCTCCCCACCACTCGGGACAACTTGACGAACAGGTAGGCGGACTTGCCGAAGACTAAGTCCACGTCGATGGCCAGGTGGAAGCCCCCGTTGTACTCCACCTCTGCCTCGAAGGCCAGCTCCTCGGGGCAGGTGGCGGGCAGCGCCTCCCCCTCGGGGCCGTCGGGCTCTCCGCTGGCCGAGGGCACCACGGGCCGGACGAGCCGGATGGTCTTGATGAAGGGCACTGTTTCGCCCAGGAACACGTCCCGCAGGCTCAGCCCCTCCAGCAGGCGCCCGGCCGTCTTGGTCTGCAGCAGCTCCTCGAACTCCACCTTGATCTTCTTGGTGACCCAGCGGCGGGCCAGCGCGGTGTCCCGCAGCTCCCGGAACAGGAACAGGATGGTGGCGTTGAGGAAGTAGCAGGTCTCCCGCGTCGGCGGGGCGGGGGTCTCCGGGGTCGGGGTCGCGCCGCCCTCGGGGGGCCCGCCCGAGGGCTCCTCAGTCCCGCCGGCGCCATAAAGGTACTCCCTGAGGGCCAGGCCCGGCACCGGCTTGATGTAGCGGA